AACATTCAAAAAAGGAAAAATATCGAGATGGCTGTAAGGCACAGTTTGAATGAAAAGGCATTTTTCTAGCATCTCAAGTGATCATTCGTTTCTCCTCAAAAATAATTGTTTCTGTAGCTAATTCCAAATTCACGCTCTGGATTTTCTGGCCAGGTCCGAAATTTTTTTAAATACTGGCGTTATAAGGAATTCGGGAGAGGGGAGGGAAGAAGTGTAGTTCCGGTTTAGAACAGTTTGTAAAAATAAGTTGTATATTTGAAAGAAAACTAATAAATGAAGACAGCGGTGATAAAAGCACTGGATGCGCTACTATTACCGAAGCCGACCGAATAGTCGATGTGGAGATACCCTTGTTAGTGGTGTTAAAGGAATATTCCCGCATACCGAGTTGAATGCACTATGAAGTTTTTTACTGTTCATTCAGAACGCTGACGATGTTGGAACGCATGTTGCACTGGAATTGCTCAATGGATCCCTGGGTGTCCGGACGCGATTAGGTGGCAAAAAAGTGTATTCGAGTAATATCGAGGATAAAATTGACGATAATAGAGTGCATTTGATTAGCATCTTCAGACATCACAATAATTTTACGGCAAGTTAAATTTGCAACTTTCCGATTATCTTGATTGAACTGAGTACCATGTACTAAGTACTATAAAAAATCGTTTTTCTCCTAAGAATGCGAAGAATTATATTCCACAATTTCAGCAAATTAACCGCAGGCTGGAACACATCAGTTTTGCTGGTGTGGTCATGCGTTTTTGCGTTAGACTTACAGCGGTCATATCGCCAAAAGCATGACTGATCCCTGCGTCACGGCTTAACACGTGGGCATAGTTGAGTTGGTTGTGCTTTAGCGTTTTCTTGCATTTTTGCATACAAGATGCCTACTTCTTGTACGTTACGAATACAAATAGGACCTGTGAGGGACAAATGAGGTGGAATTGAGCGATACGCACAAATAATTACCGCTGTGCTGACAGCAAGAAGCTATGTTTCCCAGGATGATAACACATGACAAACACTACTGGTTTGTGACTAACAGACAGGACTCTTTCGTCTTCCGGGTGCTTTTTCGTAGCGACTTACATAAAGAATTCCGTTGCTCGCATCAGGATGTGTGAGTAATACCGACTGTTGCAGATTGCAATCGATGGCGTGGAAAAAGCTAAATTCGACGTTGAAAATCGTTTCGATCATCCGCTTCTCGCCGACGCATTGATTTTGGGCAGCAGTGACAGTTCGCCGGAGGGCACATTTTCAACGAATGATTACTTTAAAGGGACGCTGCAAGACGTACGAATTAACGATCGCGTGGTACCGTTGACTGAACTGCCTGCTGACGTCGAAGCTCAACAGTTCGGTGTTCGCGTTAAAGAAGAAAACATTTTACAGGTTATCGAGCTCGTATCCACTACGTTTCTTCGCAGAACTAATCTTGTGGAACCAGAAGTTAGACTCGCCAAGCGTAAAAGACTAAAAGCCTGT